GTCGAACCGCTCACCATTTTGAGCCGACCATCATCCCTGTTTGGTGAAAGATCTACTCCTGATCTTTGTCGGATCGCGGTTCTACCTCTGGCTTGGTCCCAGTCCCGATATCCACTCGAGCGAGTTCCCTGGTTGCCGTTGACCAACGCCCGCATCCCTTTTCCAGTCTCCGTTTTCTTCAAGATCCTCTCCCTCTCGTTCAAGCCTGTCGTTTTTGCCTTCTTCTTTAATCGTCGCATCCAATTCTTTGATTTTCGCCCGCGCTTGGTCCCGCTTGCGACCGCCTCCCGGGTTGTCACTTCGGCTTATCCAAAGGTTAGTACCGAGACCAAGAACCCCCAAGATTCCCCTCAAACTCCTCTGTCACGAGCATTCACACACCAACACATGCAAAAACTTAAGGAAACTCACAAGAGATCATTTTGTTTGGTAAAAAATGGAACGTTCGGCTGGTAGACAGCCACCCGACAGCGGTTATGGCTTCCCCCTTCTTTCTTTCTCTCTCTCTCTCTCTCTCTCTCTCTCTCTCTCTCTCTCTCTCTCTCTCTCTCTCTCTCTCTCTCTCTCTCTCTCTCTCTNCTCTCTCTCTCTCTCTCTCTCTCTCTCTCTCTCTCTCTCTCTCTCTCTCTCTCTCTCTCTCTACCCTGGATCGTTACCCTGGATACACCCACTCAAGTATCTTACACCTTGGTGGCTATGGCCCCCGTCCTCCTGCTCTACGTCTAACCTAGCTATGGACTATTTCTCGGGCGCCCTCTTCTTCTTCGGGCGCACAGTGCTGAAGTTGCCGAAACGCACATGCAGCAGCAGCACTTCCTCGTCTTGCAACTGAACAAATGACGAGTCGCTGCACTGTAGCAGCTAAATATAAGATTTTTCTTCACTTGGCTTGGCCTGCTGCAGAACGGTAACAGTCGGCCACGGCCTGTCTGCTGCAAACATTTTGTCGGCCCGGTACCTTCCGGACTTTCCTGGGACATGCTGCAAATTGGACTTGGGACTGTCGGACTGGACTGGACGCCTCCGGACTTTTCTTGTCGGGTACCGGTCAGGACACTTCTGGACTTTTCTTGTCGGTACCGGACCCCTACCTGCCTACGACATTTCGGACCCCCTAGACCCTATGACCTAGCCTACCGGACTGCCGTAGGACTGGGCTTGTCGGGACACTGAGACCGGGACTGGGTGTCTGCCATGTGAATCCTTTCACTTTGCCAGCGCAGTGCCTATTTCGAAGAAAATAAAATTTTAAAAAGGCTTGTACTGGACAACATCATGACTTTGACAGAGGTGGGCAGATATATAAAGGACACGAGAATCGACACAGCTATCCTCTTCTTTGACTTTGAAAAGCCGTATGACCAAGTCAATTGGAACTTCAGCAGCAATGCACGGAGTGTATGGGAGTGATGCCCAACTTGCGGCACTGGGCGAGAGTTCCATATAACCATGCACACAGGCAGGCGCAGGTGAACAGCTTTCTTTCAGCCCCGTACAAGTGTCAAGATCAGCCCGCCTAGGTGACCCGCTGGCGGCCCCGCTCTTCCTGTTCACAATGCAAGCCATCGCCTCATACCCATGCAAGGATCCCTCAATAGAGAGACTTGTGGCTGAGCCTGCTCCGAACGGACATAGAGTCTCCCTGCGGTAACGTTGCTCTTTGCATACAACCTCACAGCCCTTATCAGGGGCTAGGACTCCTTGTTCCAAGCTCTGACACGTTCAACGCAGGCTTTCCACATGGCCTTGGAGATGAGAATCAACTGGCACGAAACAACAGGCTGGTGGCTGGTTGATACGGTGGAGCCTCCACAGGCAATCACCCTGGAGGGATTCGCATGGCAGGACCGACAGACCCCACTGCACTTCCTCGGCATCAAACTGATGGACAATGGCCCGGACCAAGCAATGGCGCCAGAAATCCTGGCCAAAATGATTGTCAAACTGGACGCATGGTCCGATACACCTCTGTCTTCAGCAGAGCACTCAATACTGAATGCCTCCATGTTGTCCATGTTACAATACACTGCCATGGTCTGGACCCCCGAGAGTGGCATGAGGAAGACCCTCGGAAGAAGGGCATCGGCCTACCTTTGGACAGGCGGCCCGGCGAAGCAGAACTTCAACTTCAAAGTTGCATGAAGCACATGATCCAGCCCAAAGGCTGAGGGGGGCTAGGAATTCTTGACCTGGAAACCCAGACAAAAGCTCTCCAAAGAGTCCAAAATAAGTAAGTCCTTAAACCGCTGACCCACCGTGACTTGCCCTGGGCCACACTAGCGTTACACAGGGTCAGACAACTGCCTGCGATTCGCTCACCCAGCAACATGCAGGGTATGTTCTGGATCATGTCCAAGTCCTGGGAAGGGAGAAAAGAGAGGCAGGAGCAAATCACGATCAGTAGCAGGCTCAACGACGGGCGGGCAACAGCGACTATCGGTGGGAGATTTTCCTGGCAAAGGTTAAATCACCTGCCACTAGAGAAGACCTGCTCAGGCAACCCCTTGTCTGCAACCAGTGGATACAGGATAGAGCCCAAAAACACTGGGCGGTAGATGGACTACATGGGTGGGAGAGGCGTTTGGCAGGTGAAGCACATCTGGCACAAAGACCAGAAGCGCTGGAAGACTCACACGGAGCTGCATGATGCACTAAAGATGTGCCACAACCTGCCGCAGAATTTGAACAACCTCCTCCTGTCCATCCCCCAGTCATGGTTCACGCTCCTTGCAAAAGAACCCATATGAGCAGTAGGAGAATGGGCAACCTGTGGCTGGGAAAATCCCCTCGTAAGTGGCACTATCCTTCATCAAAAGGGTTGGCCCTAGGGGGGGGGTGGAGATTGGTCGGGATACACCACAGAGAAGAAGTGGGTCCAACAACCAGTGGAGTTAATAAAACCAGCCGGACACACGCGGCGGTGAAGCTCTCCTGCCTCAGAAAGACCAGAGTTGTGGAGGACGATGACTATAAGATCTTCGGGCCCAGAAGACCGATCCAGGAGCTCGAGCTCGACCCAGCAGAATGGGCATGGAAGCTCCCAACCATGGTGGGCAGGGTTGAGCATCGCATTGGCATTCTGAACTACACGACCAGGTTGGGCTACAGGCCGAGACGTAGGTCCACGAATACTCAGGATACGCTGGCCCAGCAATCGGAGAGGAAAGTGCCCGCAAGCCTGGACCGCCTGACCAGGATACCCTAGAATGTGGTCCTCGTCATCTGTAATACCAGGGTCAGAAGTATGCAATGGTTGATAACCTACCAAGTGCTCCCAGTCAACAAGTGGCTGCGCAAGTGCAGGCCACGGGCCAACAGACAAGATTTCCACGACCTCTGCGGGATCTGTGATAGGGGGTTGGCACAAGACATCGCGGACTGCATGCTGCTCTGCCCAAAGGCAGAATAACTGTGGTGCTATGCCGGGGAGCTCTGGTGCAGAGTCACCGGCAGCGAGCTAACAGGGGATACCCTGACCTTACTCTCAGGTTGTCTACAACCCAAGGAGTGCACAAGTGGGCGCCAAAGTTTTATAGGAGACTCCGGCCTCTTACACTCTGGGTGGTCTGGAAAACGAGATGCAAGGAGAACATTGATGCGTAAGAGGTGCCACCAAATAAGGCTTGCGAGGACCTCAAACAGAAACTGGACACAGAATACCAAGCGGATTGGCACAGAGTGAGTAAGCAAGCCATACAAGAACCTGAGAAGAAGCAAGACATCATCGACAAATTTGTGAAGGACTCCCCAGGAAACTGGAAACTGGGGCTGATAGAGGGAAGCCAGCTCACGTGTACATGGAGGCGGGGCACACAAGGAAGAGGGGAGCACAAGCTGTCTTGAACAGGCCCGCTCAGAGCCTAGCAGGGTGGTACCTGCGGATGTCAGCATAGCATCAAACTGAAAGCCCTAGCTCACAATGGCACAGGATGCCATGGGATTCTGCAACCAGGTAGCGCTAGATATTGAATTGTCCTGGGGCAGCCAGGCAACTGCCTGGGTTCAGCAATCCAATTGGTGATAGAAAACACTGGTCAACCTGGGCACTAAAACTCACAGGGTATCCCGGGAGGCCAGCACTGTGTAGCTCTGAAACTGGCGCCCGAGGACAGGACTAGCCCGGGGCACACCGAGATATCACCACAGAAGGGATGGTAGGATCTGCTCTAGTTGTTCAAGCACATTCGACAGCCAGTCAGCTGAGAGTAGTAGTCAGACTTGCTTTGGGTGAGAGAGATTTAGGGTCTGCAGGTGAAAGCCCGAGGAAAGGGGCACCCTGGGAGTACTTAATGAGGCTATCAATGAGGCAGCGGTGAGGGGTGGTACATGCCTCCCACAGGAGGTAAACAATGTCGTCCACTCAGGCGTGGAAGACAAGTTTGTATTCCCTTTGACTTGCCCGTGGAATACGAACCGGACTGATGCTCCCCAGAATGGATTTGGAGCCAGGACTTCAAGGTCCTGTTTTCCAAAAAAAATTGAAAAAAAAAAGAAAAAAAAAGACGAAGAAGTCGTGTTGCTAGCTATGGCCCTTAGAATCTTTTTCTTTGCTAAACATCTCTTTGAACGTTGATTCAGGAGAAGGTGAAGTGAAGGAATTCACCAAATCAAACTCTCTAGGTGGAATGAAATCTGTCTGAGATAGTGAATCACTTCATCCAACTGAAAGAAGAGCACTCATGTGAGTAGCATTATGCCTGTTCGGCCAATGCAACAGGAGGTCATAACCTGAACCACAACATAGAAGAAAAGCATTGACGAGATATGCAAGTCATAGGATAGATATCCATCTTATGAAACACAGATGCAATATCCATCCTACCATCTTATGAAACACAGATGCAATATCCATCCTACGAAACACTGATTCACCATGCAGCCATGTAGGTTATGTACAATTTCATTTCTCCATAACATGGTTCAGAGGACCATCAAACTCATCAATCAACAGTACATAAGGAGAGAAAGGAAGGCCTTTGTGGATAAAGGGTGTAACTAACCCGCCTACATAACGTTTCTTCCGCTCTCTAGCTTGGGCTGGCCCCACCATTTCTTCAATGATTGTCTGCAACATGCACGGATTAACAACCCCAAATGAAGAAATTAGAAAAGTCCTTTTCCGGACCATATGCCTTCTATGAGTTATTTTCTGACTTACTGAGAATGCAAAAGCCCAGGAATCTGCAAAGAAAAGCACATCAATGGAGACTTCATAATAGTGAGGACATGAAGTGGGAGCTCGAACCCTATCAAAGAACCGAAGGCAGCACTTCCATTTGTTTTGCTCAGCCTTCCTCAAGTTGATACTTTGCAATTGCTCCTGGGGACTCCTTGTTCACCATGTGCAGGGCCCACCACACCTGGTAAACTACTCCTTTCACCACTTCACCACACTGCAAGGAATATGAGTGTGAACGATATACAGAAAACCAAGTTGCGAAATCACACAGATGTCCAAGTAGTCGTGTACAAGCAGAGAGCACAATTGCACCGAGAATCCATCCGAATAGAGCAATACAATGAAGTAACGAGCCAATGTTCAAGCCCTCAGGCCACACCAACACAGTATCCAAAGTCGCTCCTCTCTGTCTGGCGCCCAGCGCGTAGCCTACTCTACTCGACTATCCTACCTACAGCTGTGTTCACGCAACAGGCTCACTTCGACTCTCGAAGACCAATGCACATGATGTCAACACCATAGCCGACCTCTCTTCATGCACCAGGTACGTATCTCGTCACCCTCATCAGACCTTGATAACCCACACTCTCGCCTCCTTACTTGAAGACCACCAGATCGCCCACTCTTACCCCCTAGCGCCCAGCAGCCTGGCTATGGCTGCCAGCGCACCGCTGCCCTGCAGGGCCCCACTTCACCTCAACGCGCCCCGCAAGCGCACTGGCCGCAGCGCAGCAGCGTGACCGCATTGCCTACGCGGGCCAGAATGCCTGGTCTGGGCTGCCTCACTTCCTATATGGAAGTAGAAGCCTCCTGGATGCTGCGTGCGGCCTGGCTGGAAGCTTCCAGTAGCTTCCGGTTGGGCCTCAGTTCCTGCGCCCAGGCCTGAGACTACAGTTGAGGGCCTGGGCCCTTTACAGTTGGGTGCGGCCTGAGTCTCCGGACTTGGGCCCTTTGCTGCAATTGTGCAGCACCCCGGGGTAGGTGCATCGACAGCACTGCTTTTGCATAGGCCGGTGGCTGCTTCATGTTGTATCGGCCCTGCTTTGTCTGTGGTGTGCCCAGCGCAACTGCCTAGGCCTGGGCCAACTGTACGACGCAGCTTAGTGACGCTCACGAGTCCACTCAACCAACTGGCTGGCTGCAACAGCCTGAATACCCATATATGAAAATGTCGAATTTTGGCCTCTGATGAATATTCGGGCCCGCCTTCACTTAGGGTGGGCACTCGGCTTGCTGGGGGCCTCTGTATGTCTAATGGGGGCCCCGTGAGGGCTCGTTCTTCGCATTCCATCCCCCTTAGCTTCGAAAGTCCCGTGAGATGCTCCATGCTGGTGCCTTCCCCTTCAGTTTCTTCTCATACTCGGCCACGATCTGAGGAGCTGTCTTGATTAGTTCCTCCCTTGTAAACCATCGATCTTCCTTAGGATCCGTACGATGCCTGAACCATACTCTATACTCCCTTGCAGGTTTAGGCGGTCTACCACTGCCAGCTGGCTTGGGAACAGGCATGTCTCTGTGCTCCAGAATATCGTCGACGTCCACGTGGCCATCCATGGTTGGGGGCAGCATAGATCTCCGTGATGGGAGCTTTGAGGCATGAAAAACAGGGTAAGTGCGTAAGTGACCAGGGATACGAATAACATATGAGGGATACGAATAACGTACGAGGGACCATCCATTTCACTACCCACAACATCAAGGACTTCCCAGGGACCGGAATAGTGAGGCATTAGTTTCCTAGAGATGCGAACTTCTGTCCCAGTTCACTAGCCTTAACCCAGACACGTTCCCCTACCTGAAATGTGGACTGTCGGCGATGTTTGTTATCAAAAGCAATCATTGCTTCCTGAGACTTCTTGATGTTCTCGACAACTTACTGGACACCGAATTCAATGGTTCCTGGAGTTGCAGCAGGTCGGTTTTCAGGAAGTAGGAAGTCTAATGCAGATCTAGGCTACCTCCTTCCTGATTCGGGGTGACCCCGGTGGTGTTGTGTACTGCATTATTGTACAGACTGGCGATGAGAGGCAATTTCTCATCCCAGTCGTCATGGCTGGGCTTAATACAATGCCTCAGAAGATGCTGCACTACCCGGTTCATTTGTTCAGCCTGTCCATTTGCTTCGACATGATTTCAACGTGTTCAGTCCTGGCGGTCTCCGGCATGGCAATTAGTCTAGCAAACTTAGTGAACCTATTAACTATGACAAAGATATGTCTCTTCCCACTCTTACTGGTCACTAGGGTATCCATGAAGTCCATGCAGATACTCTGCCCCGGACCAGCAGGGATGGGTAAAGGCTTTAGTAACCCAAGCGGAGCTTGAGTACGCGGCTTGTCTCGCTGATAGACCTCACAGGTCTGTACGTACTTCTTTGCATCGTCCAGCATGTTAGGCCACCAGAATCGCTGTACTAAATTAGCACTAGTCTTCTTGTAGCCGAAATGTCCCGTTGCGTCGTGGCACTCACCTAAAAATAATCGACGCAAAATCTCTCTAGATGGAACAATTAACCTTTTAAACCCTGCCTTCTCAAGAAAGAGTAACCCATCCACCATCACAAACTCGTCAGTGGTGGCCTTATCTTTGGCCTTCAGTTTGTTGATGATGTCCATCGTGATAAGGTCTTCCTTGTAGGCCTTCCCCAAGGATCGATTAGTGTCCTCAGCAAGGCCAAACTTAGAAATTGGGGCACCTAGATAATCTTCCCTGCGGGACAACACATCCGCAACCTTGTTGTACTCTCCTTTCACACACTCTAGTTTGAAGTCATACTGATCTATGACTTCAATCCAACGTTTGAGTGCATCGGAGAGAACTGGTTGTGTCTCGATCCACTTGAGGATCTGGTGGTCAGTTCTCGAGTAAAAGAACCTTCCTAACAGGTAGTGCCTCCAGCGGATCAGTGCCTTGTAGAGGGCATAGAGTTCCCTCTCGTAGGTGGACTTTGCCAACTTCTTTGATGGCATCTTTTTGCTCATATATGCGAGCAGTCTCAACTTTTTCCCTTCTTGCTGAGCCAGGACTGCGCCAATGTCGTATTGGCTTGCGTCAGTGGTTACAACAAACGACCGTTGCGAGTCGGGTACCATGAGAACCTCATGGTGCGTGAGTGCATGGTTCAAACGCTTGAAAGCTACTCACACTCGTCAGTCTAGTCCCATGGCATGTCAAGTCGAGTTAGATCAGTCAAGGGAGATGTGATCGTGCTATAGTTCTTTATGAAATTGCGGTAATAACCACACATTCCCAAGAACGATTTGACCTCAGTCACAGACTGAGGTCGTGGCCAGTCACGTATGCTAGCCACCTTCGCATCTTCGAGCCTAATCCCATCCGCGGAGACTTCATGACCCAAGTACAAGATTCGAGTGGGACCGAACTCGCATTTCTCTACGTTTATCTTATACTTGTGTTGCCGAAGGAGGGAAAGTACGTTGTCTACATGCTGAGCATGCTCCTCGACAACTCTACTAAAGATAAGTATATGGTCGAGGTACACGACGACAAACGTATCCAAGTAGTCATGGAAGATCCTATTCATGGCGTGCTGGAATGTACCCAGCGCATTGCAAAGGCCAAAGGGCATCACCACAAACTCGTACAGACAGTACCTGGTCTGAAATGCGGTTTTGTGCTGGTCCTTTGGTCTTATGGCAATCTGATGGTAGCCGGATTTTAAGTCTATCTTTGTATAGTACTTACATCCCTGCACCCTATCCAATAGGTCGTCGATGCGTGGTAGAGGCTCTGCGTCCTTAACAGTGATGGCATTGAGGCCTCTATAATCAATGCACATCCGTAGTGTTCCCCCTTTCTTTGGAACAAATATTACTGGCGAGTCAAAGGGGGAGGTGCTAGGCCGTATTCAACCCTTCTCTGTGAGCTCTTTCAGTTATCGCCGAAGCTTGTCCAACTCGGCCGGAGCCATCCGGCAGATTCTCCCTTTAGGTGTCTTGCTACCTGGGATGATGGCATGGACAACCTCCCTATCTACGACTCATGTAGGCTCCTGGAACAGGTCAGGGTATTTAACGACGATGTTCTCTCTCTCTTGGGGTGTTTTAACGACCTTCCCTTTCTCAGAGGCATAGACTAGGTACATACATACCTTCCTCTTGGTTATGTTTGTAATAGTTATAGAACGCAGGTGCACATAAGCACCCATAGGAATCAATTAACCTACTGGCTTTGTACTTAGCCAGTCTAACGATCCTCCCATTAGGCAACTCCTGCTTGAGCACCTTCTTGTCCCAATCAAACTGGGGTGTGACAACCTCAAGGTAGTACATGCCCAACAACATATCAAAAGGTAAATCGTCGCTCACCAAGACGATATTCTATGATTTAGTTCTCCTCCTGAGTAGGAGAAAGTGCAGACCACGTCTTTCACGTAGTCCTCCACCATCATCCGCTCTTTGTTGGCCAAAGTAGATGCTACCGGCCTACTAAGGCGCTGCACCCGGTCCTTTAGGTGCAGCCTCTCAACACAGTCGCGACTTATGAAGCTTCGCGTGGAGCGGCCACCCACACCAACTTCCACAACGAAATGCTTCACTCTAAAACCTCTGCTTAGTGCCACCCAGGACTCCCGAGGGTCCCTTGCCAACCACTCACCTTGAAGGTCCTCTAAGACTTCAAACACATCCAACGTACAGAGTATAGTTGGGTCCCAATGCGTCAGCGGGGTGACAAAGGAGTCAACAGCTTCAGCCAACTCTTGAAACGGGGAGGGTACATCACCCGCTTCAACGAGAGTAGAAGCAAACTACAACTTCTACTGGCCCTAGGTGTTTCCCGGGCTGGAGCTCGTAGAGGCCCCAGACTGAGAAGAAGGATACCCACCCTTAGGCGGGATCTTCTGCACAACCTTAGCGCAGTAGCTTCCGGTTGGGCCTCAGTTCCTGCACCCAGGCCCAAGACTACAGTTCAGGGCCTGGGCCCTTTACAGTTGGGTGCGGCCCCAGTCTCCCGACTTGGGCCCTTTGCTGCAATTGTGCAGCACCCCGGGGTAGGTGCGTCGACAGTACTGCTTTTGCATAGGCCAGTGGCCACTTCATTATGTCGCCCCTGCTTTGTGTGTAGTGTGCCCAGGCGCAACTGCCTAGGCCTGGGCCAACTGTACGATGCAGCTAAGTGAGGCCCACGCCTCCACTCAACTAACCGGCTGGCTGCAACAGCCTGAATACCCATATATGAAAATGTCGAATTTTGGCCTCTGATGAATGTTCAGGCCCGCCTTCACTTAGGGCGGGCACTCGGCTTGCTGGGGCCTCTGTATGTCTGATAGCGGCCCCGTGAGGGCTTGTTCCTCATAACATCACAATAGTCACTCATATGACAACTCAGGCAACACACCATGAAAAAATAACCAGATCTGAATAGTCCAGTCAGATTCATTTAGGCGGATCCCCAATCTTTTTCCACATCGTGTACATGATGCACCCATGAGCCAACCAGTGTGATCAAGCATCTTCAGTATTCAATGCCAAACCATATGGGTTGGTCACTTAGCGAACCGAGTTAGCTAAATAGGGTATGTGTTTGATACACTACAGTACTACAACATACATACACATGCATGGCTATTTCATCTCTGTATACTCGTGCACATGTGCACATGCACCAACTTACAGATACACACATGCATGGTAGGTTACTAGGTGTTCAACACACTCCACGCACACTCACATGCACAGCTCACAAATGCACATTCGCTGATTCCCCACCATCATCACTGGCCCCCTCACCTGCCTCTTCTGCTCCAACATCCTTACGATCTACTGCCCCCTTCCTCCTCCCCCACTTCCCCTTTGCCATCGTCAGCAACTGCAACACATTCATCATCAGATTGTTTGCCACAGGCACCTCTTTGGCACAGACGTCCCCCATCTCCACAGCTGTCTCCCAGACAGTGGCCTTGTCTGTACATGGACAAGATGATCATCGCACCACCGGCAGGAGTCAAAGATCTATTGATGCATACCTATCACCAGATAGGCAGTGCGCAGACCCCGAAGACACTACTGTGAATGAAAGACTCAAAGACTAGAAATGCGACCAACAAAGAAGCAAAGTGAATCAAAATCAAATATAAGACAATGTAGCACAGTGGAAGACTCAAATCATGATCTAACTCAGTGGACTCGACACACAAACATCATCATACGTGTAGAAGGGCAAGGAGGGTATACATACATGCACAATCTCTCCTTGTGCAAGGAAAATAAGCAACAGCAAGATGACAATCCCAGATCACACCATGTTGCATACTTCAATGAGTATGGGCAGAACCAAAGATCAACCAATGTAGGATGAGCATATATGCAGCGGAAGTCTGATAAACGGACTGACTCACATAGACTGACTCACATAGCATCACTCCACACACATACAATCGTGCGGTGGTGGGGTCTGAGCCATACATAGAAGATGCTCAGCCCCCGTACGGACATACACAGATGAATGGGGAAGGAGAGACGAAGAGGTGGGGGAGGTAGACAGCACCGAAAGTCACCGAGATAGGATCTGATAGGTCACCGATATNACATACACAGATGAATGGGGAAGGAGAGACGAAGAGGTGGGGGAGGTAGACAGCACCGAAAGTCACCGAGATAGGATCTGATAGGTCACCGATATGGTAGTCCAAAATGTCATCCAACAAGATCAAAATGTCGAGGACCATAGGTCACCAATGTCGGGGATACARAGTCCAAATGTAACCGGTGTCTGAACTGTGATGTCGCCAAGTACCAACCCCAACGATCTCCCAGTCTCCAATCTGGTAAGCACCACAGTCTCATACCACCGAAGTCCAATACCGATCTCTGTCCAACTAGTATAAGTCTCCAATCTGAAGAAGAAGAAGAAGAAGAAGAAGAAGAAGAAGAAGAGGAAGAAGAAGAAGAAGGAGGAGCCGAGGAGGAGAGAGAGAGAGAGAGAGAGGGGACTGGCGAGGGGAGGGAGGAGAGAGGCCTCCAACCCCGATACCTCAGGCGGCTATGGCCGCCGGCACACCCAGTCGCCGCTGCTGCTGCTCGCTCGCTGCTGCGCTAATGCTGCGCTGCCGCTCCTCGCTGCTCCTGCGCTAAACTTAGCGCCAGCGCTGTCTCGCGCTGTACCATACCGTACCGGTAGAATGCCGATAGGTCGATGCCTCGAAGGGAGGCCGGCCCGGTTCTTTATACCGGTGGGCAGAGGCCGGCCTCACTGCTGCGAGGCCTGGCCGTGCCCTGAACCGTCCAGATGGACGGTTCAGCCCCAACTGGCGGGCGGCAGCCTCAAGAGCGCCGCCAGGCCCAAACGGTAATGTCGTTTGGGCCTGCCCGTCGGGTCTGGTCCAAGGTGAGGCCTTTATGGCCTGTAGTACCCCAAGGTTGGGCCTTTAGGCCCTGGTATGTCCCTCTAGCCCTAAGTCCGGTCCGGTAGGACCCGTGTGGCGTCGAAGATGTAACACACTCCCCCTCTTAAAAGACCGAGCTACCTGCGAGGGCGAAGTTGTCTGTCCGATACCGGGRTGGGTCGGGCGGGACGAGCTGCGTCCTTAGCGAGGCGTCGCTTCTCATAGTCGGCGAAGATAAGGGGTGCAGAGGTCTGCAAATCTGTACTGGAGATCCACCGAGTGTCATCAGGCGCACATTGCTTGAATGTGACTTTGTACTGCCTTGGCTTGTTGCCATACTTGCGGTGCAACTAACAAGTCCTTTCCTCTCGTGTGAAGGAGAAGGAACCCGTCGGAAATCCGATAGTGGCTAGCCGGTGGGTGATCCGATGAAAGCTCCGCGTAAAGCTGAGAGTAAGTCGGATCGGACTTGTAGCCTTTGACAAAATGCTGCTGCAGATCGTCGTCGGGGTCGAATGCCGTGGTCACAATGGCACAAAAGTCGGGCCGTCGTGAGAGGGCGTCCGCAGCTCGATTGGCCGGACCGGGAATGTGGCACGTGTCAAAATCGAACTGGTCGATGTAATACATCCATCGACCAATCGTGCTAGTGACCGTGTCTTGCGTTTTATAAAAGGTCAACGGATTGTTGTCCGTATTCCATTTGAAACGYCGMCGGCCGAGAAGAAAGTGGCGCCACCGTTTGAGAACRGTGACGAACGCGAGTAGCTCTTTCTTCCTAGCGTCGTCGAGAGTGTTGACGAGAGGCACCTTTTGGGAGAAATACTCAACCGGATGCCAACCGTCCTCGTGACACTGTTCAAACACCGCACCAATACCGTATCCCGAAGCGTCCGTAGTCACTTGGGTGGGTAGGGTGGGGTCGTATATACGGAGGCCAGGTGCGGCTTGCATTGCTGCCTTCAACGTACTGAACGCGCCACGGGCTGCGTCGTCGAACTCGAAGGGCACCTTCGGGGACTGAAGTCTCGACAAAGGAGCGGCCACTTTCGAGTATGACTCGACGAAACGCTGATAATATCCAGCCAAACCCATGAAAGAGCGTACATCCGTCGTGCAACGGGGTTCCGGCCAATCCACGATGGCTTGGATCTTGTCCGCTAAGGGACGAATGCCTTTCGGCGTGACAAAATGGCCCAAGTACTCAAGCTCTTGCCTGGCGAATTCGCACTTGTCGAGATTCGCTTTGTACTTGGCTAGTCGCAAACGATTCAAAACAACGCGAAGGTGTACGATGTGCTCGTCCAACATCCTACTATAAACCAAGATATCATCAAGGTAGATAAAGACGCTGCGATCGAGGAAGTCGCGAAACTCAGTCGTTATTACTGCTTGAAACGTTGCGGGGGCATTGGTGAGTCCAAATGGCATGACGACCCACTCAAAATGCCCGTACCGCGTCTTGAACGCGGTCTTGTACCGGTCTTGAGGCTGGATTTCAATCTGGTGGTAACCTGACTTCAAATCCAACTTCGAGAAGAACGTCGCGCCGCCTAACCGCTCAAGGAGATCATCAATCCGAGGGAGAGGGTCGGCGTTCTTTACGGTTTGTGAGTTAAGTTTCCAATAGTCGATGCATAACCGTAGATCTTTGTTCTTCTTCCGGACGAAGAGAACAGGTGCACCGTATGGCGAGCAACTAGGGCGAATCCAACCCTTGTTGAGAAGATCATCGAGTTGTGCGCGAAGCACCTCAAGTTCCTCTTCGCTCATGCGGTAGATACATCCACACGGAGGGACGACGCCAGCCTCGAGAGTGATCCCGTGACGTATGGGCCGATCCGGAACCGTTCCGGTGGGAGCCTCGAAGACGTCTCTATACTCGTCCAAGAGCTGAGAAATGCGTGGGTCCGGCGGTAACGCGGCTGGTCCGTCCGGCGAGGGGAGAGCATGCAAGAATACAAGGCCCATCTCCTCGACGTCATTCCGAGCAATGGCGTCGTGAATCCGCGCAACGGAAACCACGTGACAAACAATCGAAGTGTGAGGGGTCGCGACCGTACATGGGACTAACACTCCGTTCCGATCACGGATGTGAACGGTTCAGTCATGGAAGTTCACTGGATGATCGGCGCTACGCAACCAAGACATGCCTAGAATCATGTCGAACTTGGTGTCGAGGATGTCAAAAGACACCGGCTCGCACGCAAGTGGCGCAAAGTAGACCGGAACGCCGTCAACGCATCGGTCAATTGACTTTTGCGTGCGGTCGTCCGCGAGTGTAACTTGCGTAGGTTGCGTCTTCCTTTGAACGCGCGGGCCAAGACCTGCGCGGGCCATAAAGGCTTGACTCATGAAGTTGCGAGACGCTCCGCAATCAATCAAGGCACTACAGGTTGCCTTTCCGATTTGAATGCGGATATAGAGCAAAGGTGCGTCGGTTTCGGCGTACCTTTGGGTGGCATGCTCGCGGTCGATCTTCGCAAGATAGGAGCGGAGATCGGCAACCGCTACCCCGTCGTCCGTCAACGGAGCTGGTACTATAGTGTGCAAGTAGAAGCGTAGATTTGCCATCAAGGCGTTGCAATGCGGCCTTGGCAATGTTCCGGTCGAGGGTAGAGGTATCCAAGTGAAATCCTCTCTCGTGAGCGGGTCAAGCTCCTCAAGTCTTGACCACGCCGTCGAGTCCTCCGAAAGCACTGGCGAACTGAGCGGATCACTTGCCGACGGTGTACAGGCTGCGCATGCGCAATCTACATGCACGTGGCTAGGCTGGTCTAATGGTGGTACCAACTGGGCGGCATAATCCTCGTACGTAGCACGAGAATCAGCGACTAACGCATGCTCCCCGGTAGTGACATCGATTGCTAGCAAGGCAACCGGGTCCGGCGGAGTGAGGAGAGACGTCGCCCCTCTCCTTGCGTAACTTAGTTTCCCGAGTTTGTTGGACGGGGTACGCGTGCCTTGCCCTTTTCGGGGCATTGTGCGGTCACATGGGTGACTCCGTTGCACCAAAGGCAGTATCCGTACTTCTGACGTAGGTCATAGACCTCCTTGGTGATCTTATATGTCGTCCATGGCTGCCCAGCTCCCGTCGCTGCCGTCTCTTGTGTCGCCTTGTTCTTACGAACTCTCTAGGGACGCTTCGGCGGGAGCGCTGCGACAATTCCTCCATCACCCGAGGATGCTGCTGCAGCGTGGTGGTCGTCGGTTTCCTCATAAATCACGGCATTGTTATGTGCCGGACGTTGATAGGCCTGCTTAGCCACATAATGCGGCTGGGATTGTCTCTCGTTAGTGGCCTTGTCGTCCGTTTGGATGACCAAGTTCGCTCGATCCAG